CTTTGGACCAGATTGATCGCTACAGTATAAAGATTTTTCTTGAAAAGCATATCTAACTTGCTTTCCATATCCTTCTCACCTATACACAATGCTGATTTATCAGTCATTATTAGTATTATATTACCCCATTCACAAAGCATGTGAGAAACTTCTTTGATGATTAGACTGTGGGCTATTAAGCGATTCTTCAGGTCATAAATATTGAAAGTATTCTTGCCATTTCTTTGATCAGCAATAACACATAAAAGATATCCACGAAACCACCCCAGAAATTTCTTCTCTCCTTCAAATGCCCAACAAGGACCACGGCCATCAACTTCATAAAAATAAACTGCCTCAGGACGCCCAATTATCAACTCCTGTAAAAAAGTGCATGGTTAGTATCTTTTTCCTGGTATATGAGGAGAGCTTCAAACATGGTTAGAGCATTCCAAGAGAATAGAAAACCAAAATTACTGAAGCAACTAAGAACATAAAATTGAATGGCAACTTGAACTGCATACCGAGCGATCACTCATTGTGACACTATTGACATTACATCCAATATGATCCAAGGTTTGCCGCTTGGGTGGTTGATTATGCATGTTGAACAGGACCACAGAATTTGGAGTTACAGCAAATAATAGAAGAACTTGACCGTCCAATCGGAAGCCTAGACCAGTAACAGGGGACTGGTTTTTGTCAGAGATATTATCCACTTGAAGCTTGAAACGTGTGATACGCTCCCTTGCAATGTCCCCTTTAATGCAGTAAATGCAACCATTATCTAAGCCAATTGCTATCAGTAGTATGGGTGGAGCTTCCTCCAGCACTAGAAATGACGTAATCTGCAGAAGAGAGTCATTCATCAAAATCATTTTCTGGCGTAAATTTTTCAGAAAAGAAAAGGAAAGATAAAGGAGGGAAATTTTAGTAGAACATTCGTCCAACAAAATCTCCTCCCAACATAGATCAGATATGAAAGAGAACTTTCCAAGGCCGATAAAGCAAAATAGCACAGAGGTGTAACACTACAAATTCTCAATGAAAATTTCCATTTACAACTTCCTCTTCAACACTTTTGACAAAAACAAAGGGAACAATGAAATCTCACTTCCCTCTGCTTGCTTTCTCAGGTATACCCTCCTTTTTTATTACAAGTCTAAATTAGTGTGACATACGTTATGAATAAGCCAATTGCAAAAAAATTAGTGTGTTTCTCCAGATACTGAGAAAGTAACCCAGGGATCATGTACCCGATAAAGAGAACATGAGTATTACGACGCTACCTTTGCCTCAGGAAACTGATTGGTGAATATTCGCAAAATTCCAATGCAATCTGGAGTCGTTGTGCTAGTTCCTTCTGGCTGCATTTTATCAAGGTCAAAAACCTTCAGGCACATAGCTGATTGTTGCGGTGATATCCGTTCATCTTCTCCAACAGTTACCAGGAAGTTGCGTTGCTGTTTCATTAACACAAGGGAAGCAAAAAATTTATTTCCAGATTATGATCTAGCTTCACGGCAGCTTAAAAATGCTGAAGAGACATTCTTTAGTTGTTCTAGATATGACTTTCAATCAGAGTCTTTAAAAAAAATAAGAAATCGTCTCTCCCATTCTCTAATCCAAGTATTTTGTATTCTGCTCTTTACTATTTCTCAATATTAACTAACATGAACAAAAAGAAAATACAGAAAATTAAAAAGCTACAGCTTGCATACAAAGAGTCCTTGTAACCCAATCGACTCAAAGTTTTCTCAAGTAAAAGAAATATTTACAGGTCTCAACCAATTTATCGTGCGAAAACCAAAAGAAAAAATCAGTAGAAGGTTTCAATTTCTTCTGCTATGAAGAGGGACAAACACGAGGACGATGGAAACATAATACAACTCTTATCTCGGGTCTCACCTTGAGGTGCTGGAGGAACAAAACGGAGGAGGAATGAGCTTGGAAACCGAAATTGAACTTGAGGCCCCGATCGAGCAGGCTGACGGTACCGTCATCGCAGCCGATCACCACCTTTCCCCTACCGCTGGAGCAGCACTCGACCTTGCCTCTCACCTCATCCGGAATCGTGCACTTAGCGCCATACTTGTCCTCGAAGAATTCGAACTTCCTCCACTGGTACATTTTCTCTGTCTCGCTCTCGCAGGAGAGGCCGGTCAAACGTGGTTGATACGTGGAATATAGGTCATAAGGTATGCGTTTTGGGAAGGGGATTAGGATCAGAAACTCGAAAGAGCGATCTCGGTGCAAAACCAGTTCAGAACAGAGAAAAGAGCCTCTCAACAAGTCACAATTCCGTGGCTTTAGTTTCTTTGGTCCTTTTTCTCTTCCAATCAATGTTACTAACAAATACCAGAAACTTTTATCAGAAATTTGATCGAACGAATTCTTTTCATTTCGCTTAAAATTGTATATATTATTTAAATTACAATTAGCTGTTAATTATTTTGTAATGCAATTTTTCAATTTATAAAATTATTATTTTTTCAATTAGCTGTTAATAAAAACACAATTAATATTAAAAAATACACCTTAATTTGTTAATACATGGGCCAGTGTGTGTGTTATTTTGTATTAAACCAAGTGGGTTCAAGCTCTGAAATAAAAATATTATTGAGCCCAAAAGAAAATAATATGCACCACCAAATGTGGGTTGGGCCAAGAAGAAGATGAAACAGTTAAATTTCACAAAATCTAACAGATTACGACTTGAAATTTCATGGCAGGTGAGAATCTAACATCGTTTTCAATCCAGTGTAAATTCATGGAAAGCAACAACACCATCACCCTCATGTGCTCTCAAATCTCCCATTTAATCGATTTACTCTTGGCTTTTCCCAACCTTCCTTCTTTTTCTCGGACATCTGACCCCAACATATTTATTTATACACATTCATCGTCTCTCAGACATTCTCAATCTACGTAATTAAAAAGCTTAATTATTAGTAAAACGGGTTTTAGAATACTTTGGTTTTTTGTTGAGTTAACACGAAATTATTTAATATATAAACATTTATAGTATTTTGAATTTAGTGATGAGTGGTTAAGAATAGGAAGAGAGCAGACATTTGAATGAAGGTCAGCATCAGAGTTGATTTGCAGTGGGAATCAAAGGCTCAGGTTAAACCGAGGATGGATAGGATTGGTATGAAGATAAAAGCAAGCAAAAAATATCCTCTTCTTATTTTTTTTTTGTTTCTTTTCTCTCCACCACATGTGTCCCGGAGACTCTCCCAAAATATTCATATGCATGTGAGCCTTTAATTATAATTACACACAAACTATTATTATTATTAAATTCTAATTTTAAAATACGTACGCATTAGAAATTGATATTTGGTAAAAGATAACATATATATATATATTTTTATTTATTTTAATTTTAGTTTATTCCCTTTTTTTTTTACCTTCTCAATAACAAGTTTTTTTTTTTGCAGGGACATGACTCTCACTTACACTGTTTACATCAGGTACGATGATGTAATAAATAATTAAATATTCTTCTTCGACTCTCTGTAATTATACCAATTCGCCATTCCACCTTTCTTTCCTGAAGAAGTTATGTCAAATTATTTACAACTTAAAGGCAAGAAAAAATTCATTAATTTAATTTTTAAGATATTGGAATGGTAGAACATGATTTAATTAATAATATTATTTAATAAATTATATTTACGATATTATTTATATTCTTATAACACTCAATATTTTTTTTATTAATTAATGGTAATTTTATAAATTAAAAATCTCGGTGTAATCGACAAATTGGATAATGATGCAAGTTTATATTTGTTAAAAAAAATATATCCTAATTAATATACCAACTTGTGCATTTCCCCAACATAACTTATTGTTATTATTAATTATTATTATTATAAGAACAAGCATCATTGGATGCGATGGGATTAAATACATTTGAAATGTCAGCGTCTTTGTATTTAATTAATTTTGGCCGATGCTGACAACGCTGTGCAAATACAAAGCTTAAATCATACTTAGGTTTAAAATATTATACACCAAAATATAATTAAGTATATGCTTATATACATATATATGTGAGTTACCATATACTTAACGTTATCTTTTATTGACTGGAATTTTTTATTAATCATACTCGTACATACGTGTAAATTATTTTTCCAAAAAACATAAATTGCTATTGGCATTTGAGTCAATTATAAAGACAAAAGATAATTTTGTATTCGTGTTAGATTATAATACATAATTTAGTTAATCAAAGTAATTATATATGCACATTACGTAATAATTTTATATAAAATATAATACGCTTTTTAAAAAAAAGATATAATTCTCTCTTTTTAAAAAAATAATATAAATTATTTGACATTAAAACTTAAAATTTAATCAGTTCTATGGATATGACATGTACAAACTATATAATAAAATATAGTTAAATATAGATCTTTTTTATACAACACTTATCATAGGTGTCAAGCATTATATATATAACAGGAAGTTTAAATTAAATAAGCATTTATACAAAAAAAAAAATTAAATTAAATAATCATATATGTATATGAACACATTTAGTCATGAAAATAACTTTAAAAGGTATATATTTGCAATAATCAAGTATAAACACAAACCAACGAAGTTTTGTAAAGTTGGTAATAATAAACTTTTATATTTTGATTCTTATTATTACTATTTTGACAATAAAATTTGAAACTCATTCGATGATTTGGGAGATTATATATAACACCCCGAGCTCGGAATTTAAGATCAGGATGATTAAAATTTTATTAATAGTAATTTTTTAAAATTTTAATTTTAATTTTTTTTGAAAATTTTGAAGAAATATACATTTTGGTCGTATTTGAAAATAATTTTCAGAAGTCACAGATAAAGTAGAAATAAGAAATGACATATTTGAAAATTAAATTGGAAAACTGGGGTCAAAGTACAAAAAATAAAAAAATAGCCACGTGGGACCGCCACATTAGCAGCACGACTAATCGTCGTACACCGCGTGATAAACATGCGGATACACGTCCACATGAAAAACCACGTGGGCAATCCGTGTGCCAACGGATCCCACGATCAAAATTTATTCCCGCGCGAATGAATGGTCTATATTCATTTTTTCTTCAGGTGTGATCGAATGGTCCTGATGCATTCGATCGAGCTGTTTTGATTTGTTTCCCAAATAAGATGGATCTAAGAGATTGGGCTACACATCCTCAAACGGACAACCCAAATCAAAAGTAGAGAGGTATTTAAACCTCTCCACCCGAACCCAAAAACCTAGCCGCCAAGAGGAAATCAGAGAAGAAGAAGAGGGGCAGCCAGAAAGTGAACCAATTGTTGGAGAAGAAGACTGCTCGTCGCCGATGTCAAAAGGTGAGTTTTTTTTTTCCTTTCGATTCATCTTTTGATTCTAAGCCACCGCAAACTCTTATCGGCACTGAAAAAACAACGGAAAAGTTAGTAACAGAGGGCAAAACTCAGTCGAGTTGCTGCACCCGAGATCCAAAATTCCTTCGTTGAGCCCAAATCCCCTTTCCATTCCCTTTCATTTTTCGACCATTGAATTCCTGATGTGTTTTTGGTGCAGAGCAACTGAAGAAAACCCCGACGACGAGGGAGGAACGACGGAGCTACCACATTGAAAATCCCACCCGCTGGTAAATCTTGATTTTTTTCCATTTTTCCGCCAACAAAGGCCTTCTAATCTCGAGTTTTATAGGTTTTCGCACAGGACTGGCTGAAATTAGCCAGACTGAGAGGAGGCACTGCCGTAGGCAGTGAAGCCAGCGCTGAAACCCTAAACCGATCCCGAGAAAATTTTAAACCCTTTTTGGCCTTTTTTTTTTAGTATTTCCAGGATATTTGATGCGGGTGTTTGATTTTTCCCAAGAAATTCGGGAATAAGAAATCGCCAGAAAGTGCAGTAAAAAGGGTAGTGTTCTGAACACCAATCTATAGTAAGAATCTTTCATCTTTTCTCTCGTTGCGGTTAATTAAAGTGTAATAAATAATAAATAGAATTTTTTTTAAATATTAGCAACCTCTGATTAATTAAATATAGTTCTCCAATGGAGTTGTTAATTGGTCAGTGTATAATGGCCATAGTCTACCTGTACTGTTTATTTATTATTATACTGCTTTGTTTGTTTATCGCTACTACGTGCACTTTACTTTATTAGTTTTTAATTATTTTCTCGTTTATTAGTTTACTCAACCATTTTACCCCTATCAGTTAACTGGTTTAAAATGAATGTCTTGACTTCGTCTTCTTTAATTATCGAGTATTAAATTATATTACTTATTTAATTATCGTTTTATTGTCCTGTAATTATGAAATAAGATTGTTGTATGTAATTGATGGCTAAATGATGATGTAGATATGTATGTGTTAGTTAATGTTATCAAACTAAAAGGCTTACCAAGTGTCATAGAAAATAGTGTACGGATCCGGTAAATAGGGCAAATCCTACCGTCGACGTTACCCTCAATCGAACAGAGCTGAGAAGTCTCATACCTAAAGGGGTTGGAAAGTGTTTTGTTCACCCTCATATCGGATAGGATATTGAGGTGGTGATATATTTAGCGCCTATTACCGGAAGGGGTATGGGGACGGTCCGTTGATTAATATAATGGATATTAGGTCCACGTATAGTGAGAACTCCTATGGACCCCTAACGACACCGGTACGTAAGTAAAAAAGTAAAGTTAAATTATTGATAGTCTCTTAAAGTGTATAATGTATTACTATCTTGATTATTTTCTTCATAAGTGGTATTTGAGAACTTAAAAGGTGAGTATGAAATTAATGTTTTTTAAGTCAAATGAATTTATCTAAAAAGAAAAATAGCTCCACTGATTATTTTGTGATTTTTACTAACATTTGGTTTTTCATATCGGTAGCAAAGTGTTGATATTCTTATTATGCTAGTGTAGCTCATTCTCCTTTATTAACCATTTCAGATCAGGACGACCAAGATCTGAATTCTGAGCAGCAAGAAAGTTAGCAATTAAAGGTTGTCTCCCCTTTTCTACCAGTTGCACAACGAAGTGCCACCATGGTACAACCCTGTTAATCCACCATATCATCCGTCACAGCCATCGTACAACCTGATGCCCCCACCATACAATCAAGTGCCACCATAGAGCCATCTGGTCCTTCCCTAACATAATCTGGTTCCCCTTCAACAGGACTCAGCTCCACCGGTGATGGACCCAAGTTATATTGAGAGGTACAAAAGACTTAATCCATATACTTTTGTAGAGACATCCACTTTTGAAAAAGCTGACTACTGGTTAGCAGAGACGGAGAAGGCCTTCACATCCTTTGGAGTGGTTCCCAAACAGAAGGTCATTCTTGCCATTTATATGCTCGTGGGTGAGAC